TCGTGACCCCCCCCGGCCCGGTCCGCCAGCCACGACACCACTAACCGTTTTCTGCTGTACTGACCTAAAGTGCGTTAGGTTTGTATCTTGGGCTCTTGATACCACAAAGCTCTCGTGAGGGGGTTCAGAAACAATCGTGGTTTCTTCTGGTTTTCCGGTTCTAAGTGAAAAAGGAGAAGAGAAAGAGTAATACTGGCAAGAGTGTCAAAACCATAACATGAAGGATAACGCTTGTCAGTTGGTTACGTGAATTTTTCTCTTGCTTGTGTTAAAACTTCTGACATAAATATTACCGATACTGGTAATACCAGTGCCGATATTAGTAGTACCGATGCTACCAACAAGTTACCAAGTTGCTGTTAAATCAACTTTTTATCTTAATTTCTTCACCTGGAGCCCCTGCCTGATTGCATGCACCATGCTGCGTCAGACAAAACACGAATGCTGTTCATGCAAACTGCTCAGTTTCAAAAGCCTGCTAAGCAGACCACAAACCACAAAGGCATAGATACGTGTATCCCTGCACAGGGGGGACGAGAAACGCGGCACAGTCCCCCTTTTTGCCTTTGAGGTGATACACGGTGTCCTGTCTTGTGTCGGAGGCCGTCACAGAGGAGGGCCTTTTATCGCTCTCTTTGTTCGACTAAATACAGAATCACTAGGTTGGAAAGGACCTTCAAGATTAATCCAGTGCCACCATGTTCCCTAAACCATGTCCTGAAGTGCCACATCCACACATTTTTTGAACACTTCCAGAGATGGTGACTCCACCACCTCCCTGGGCAGCCTGTTCCAATGCCTGACCACCCTCTCAGTGAAGAAATTTTTCCTAATACCCAATCTAAACCTCCCCGGGCGCAACTTGAGGCCATTTCCTCTTGTCCTATCGCTAGTTACTTGGGAGAAGAGGCCAACACCCACCTCACCATAACCCCCTTTCAGGTAGTTGTAGAGAGTGATAAGGTATCTCCTCAGCCTCCTCTTCTCCAGACTAAACACCCCCAGTTCCCTCAGCCGCTCCTCATAAGACTTGTGAAGGCTCATCTCCTCTACGCGGTAGTACTCAAGCAGCGCTTCACATAACGTACTCCAGGGTGAGAATTGAAAATCCCCTCTAGCTGTAGGGAGATTTCTACCAACGGAGAGAAATTCAGAACTGCTCTAGGGTCTCTACTCAGAGAAAGTTTAAAGGAAAGCGAAGTGGTCGGTTGTGGCATCAACGTTAATGGTATCGCACCAATCTCAAGACCGCCATCTCGTGATGAGTCCTCTTCTTGAAAGGAAATCCTTTCCCTTCAGCAATTTCTTTATAGGAAGAGTCTTTCTATGGAGTTATTTAGAAACAGTCGTGCTTGGTCAGTAGCACAGGTGTTAAGTGTGCCCATACTGAATTTGGTCCTAGGAAAACTGACCAAATGAGCATTGCAATTAGCTAATTCATCTCTTTTCCTGCCTCCAAATCAAAAGTGGGGTGAGGAATGCCAGCCAAAGGAAAGCCAATGTCAGAGATACAGGTTTATCGCAGTGGGTGGCTTAGCATGCCAGATAGCGATGCCTTACCGTCTCTGAGAAAGAGATGCAATACTTCACTCTCTCCAGTAACAGAAAGCTGCATTAAAGCATCCTTAAAATAAGCTGAATAAAAAGTCTTCACCGCTAGCTTTGCATGAGGCACTGGTTTTTCAAAGACAGACCCATGCAGCTTGCGTCTAGAGAGAGGTCATTTAAAGGAGCAAGAGATGCTGCCGTAGTGTTCTGAAGCACATGTGTTTTAGCGTGTCTGGGCAGAAGAAGCGGGGCTAAAAGACTAAGGTGCAATAAATGGTTCCAGTTTATCTGTATTTCTGCTGGGATCTTTGCTTTATCGGGTGGCGCGAGCCTTCATGTCGCAGAAGGGCCAGCTTTAGCGGGATCGGTGACCGTTCGCCCCCGGAGGTAACACGCCTTAAAACAGCACACCAGAACTAAGGGGCAGCTGAAGGACAGCACTTCTGCGTTGTTTTCAGGACACTAAAAAGCATTAAAAAAATTGATGAAGTAAAAGATGATAAACTCGGAACCCGCCGCCGTGTTTTGCCAGACGTGAGACCATTTGACGGTGTAGGCATCGACCCGAACAAGGAAACGAGCACGAGTGAGCGCAGGCGTTCAGGTAATCGTGCTTGCAGGCTTTAGATCTGCAAGGTGTGAGCTACTGAAGCACGGCTGGAAAGTTTGTTGGTGCTAATTTCTTATGTAACCTGCCACCTGCTCAATACAGCTGTTAAATACAGTGCTGATGTTGACATTTTTATTAAAAAACACCCCCAAAATCACAGGTATCAAGAGCCGCCGGGGAAGAGGCCCTGCCTACTTTAGAGGTGCTATTACTGCTTGACTTCATGCTGCTTTAAAATACATGTATTTTATACATACATATGTTTTAATAAACTGTTTTTTCACTGAATTCCTGCTGTACTGTATTCCAGCTGCACAGTATTTTTTCCCCAGGTAGCAGCTAACAAATTATACTCCGCTGTTGATTTTCACACTGGAAGTCTTTAATCTCATTAAAAACTCTGGGAAACTTACTGTTTCCTGTCATTTGCTAAGAACCATTAAGGAGGACTGCTTTTGAGCTACGGTTCATAAAGACAGAGGTAAATTATAAGAAAAGACAATACTAAGGTGCAATAATAATGTCTTTAGTTAACAGGAATGATTTCACAGCCTTGTCTTCTCCTGGGAAAACAACCGTGTGGTCTCCACTGTACCAACTTTCTAAAGCCACGTCCAACTTACCCTGTTGCTGAGGCAAAGTGTCCATGGAAAAATCTTTCACCCATACTGGATTAAAAAGAGAGCCCCCCTTCCTAGATTTAAACAAACTAAAAAAAAAAAAAAAAAAAAAAAAAGTTTAAAATTTAAGAGCAATTTCAAAACCTTCTGCCCCCTTCTGTTTCTTACAGTCAGTCCCTTTTGCAAAGAGCTTTTTAGATACCAGGACTGTATTTTGGAATTCCAGGTTTTCCTCCCACGCTGCCGTCTGCAGAGACATTCAGAAAGACTGTACTGGAAAATACATGGAGAATTGCTTTTTTTTCCTAGCGACTGGTTTTTGTGCACATCTGAGCTCCTGACCTATAGTCAACGTCTGGTGTGTAATTCCCCACTGTTCCTCTTCAGTTGCTCCGTGTAGCCAACTCTTTCCTGGGGGCGGAAGGAGAGTAAGAGTTGTCTCAACTGCATCAGCGCTCTTTCCAAGGAAAGAAATTGCAAGAAAAAGAAAATTCTCAATTGTGGTGAACAGAAAGAGTAATAGTACATTTGTTCATGTGGCGCTCTGCCATCTGCCACTATTACTGTGATCATTGGCCCAAAATTCTCACCTAAGGCTGGAGAACAAGAAGTTGAAGGTCCAATCCTGCTTATGTAAAAAGATACATAGCAGGTGGTACCTACAAATTTAGGAAGGCTTCCAAGGAAGAGAAAAAGATACCTCAAGTGTTTGCGTTTTTTTGGATGATGTTGCTTATTGTAAAGTATCTTAAGAGAAAATTCCTCTTTCAACTGTTTGCCCATTTTCATGCTGCTCTATGGATAATTCCGGAGCAATAACCACTTCAGCTGGCTATTCCTTTTGTGCTCAGCTGCTCAGCCACCTACCTGCCACGTCCAAATCCTGAAAATAAACTTAAGCTTCATGAAATGTCAAGGCTCCGGGCTTTGACTCATGCTTGAAAACAAGTGCTGAAGTCTAACCGCTGCTCTTCCAGCGTAGCTGCTTTTATAACGTGTGTCTGACAAACTAACACAGCTAGGGCCAAGACTGCTTCGATGGAGTTTAAGTATCGTTTAACCTAGATCAGCATTTCACGGTGGATGTACTGTAGTTTTAATTCTACGTTTTCTTACGTAGGAACTCTGCTTCATTCCACGCACAGATAAGTGACGTTCCTGAAGATGTTTTCTACATCTGTTTTCTACTTGTCCTCCACTTTTCACCCCTTCACGCTGCAGGCCTGATCGGTTCAGGGATTTGGTGGCAAGAAAGAATTTGAGGATTTAGGATGATCCAAACTCTGCCCAGTGGGAACTGTATAAGCACGGCCTGCCGGATGCTCTCAGAGCAGAAAACTTCTGTGAGAAACTCCCAGTGATGTCATATTTTCCAAGGCACTGTTATAAACTTTTTAATTTTTTTTAAAATCCTTGAGTGACTCAGAAATCTGGCACTGTCCAGAGTGCGAGCTTTGCTAGTATGATACGAGCATCTATAGTGGGAGGAAGGGCAGGCTTTGACACTAGGAGTTCTCCTCACCCAACTGAAGATGGATTTAAGGAACTGAAGTGGAAGAAAGAATCAACCCAAAAAAAAAAAAACCCTAGGTGCTGATGGGAGCTCAAAAGTCTCAGGACAACCAAAGACCATAGATATAAAAGTTAGGACTAAAACACAGTACGTTACCTAATACAAGGGTATGTTATGGTAAAAAGCAAGAAAAATCTTTGCTGTACTGTGCCAGATACCAAACAGAACAGTTTGCCCAATATGCTTCTGCCCCGCTACCCCTCTTAAAATATTTTTGGTTGTGAGTACTTCTGGTACATAATCACTCAAGTCATAATTAAGGAATTTATATGCTCATTTACATGAGAAAAGAGATTTTTCTTCCTGATATTGCCAGATTTCCCATGTAATTCCAGACAGAAGAATTAATCCAGTTTCACATTAATTGTACATTCTTTATACTCTGTGTGCAATGTGCAAGGCATCTGTGTGTTAGCCCGTGGATATGCAGGCAACGAAAACTGCAATTTCTAAGTACTTAGAAATTACTAAATAACCTGGAAAACAAGCCCCAGACTATTCAGCCAAAATGATCTTTTTTTTTCCTCACTGAACAATTTTTTACCTTAATCCTTACCTCTAAAACAGTGACAAAAGCACCCTACTCACTAGAAGCAGTGGAATAATCTATCCATTAGTTTTCATACTGAACCAACATACTTGCACCTGAAGACTATTAAGAGATCATGCTGGAATTGTTAAATATACAGTAGTATTGTATATTTAACATTTAACAGTAGTATTAGATTGAATGTAAACAGTTATTTATAGTAAAATGGATTAAATGAACATGGTAATAAATCCGTTGTGCATTCAGTGGGTACTGCTGATGCTCTGCATTAAACAAAGCAGACATCTAATTAAAAAATGCAATTCTTTTATGACCCCAGGACTTATGAAAATTGGTTTGTTATGGAACTGACTTTAAGGTGTGCAAGTTCACGGCAGGTAGTTGTCTGCCTGTTTGCTCTGTTCAAACCCATCAAAAACGGCCCGTCCAGCTCAGCCCTTGAGCCAGCTTTACCAAGACTGACATGAATTTCAGAAACACGCAGAGAAAAGTGGTGGGCAGGCAATCCCAGGAGCTGCTTCCTTAGGAGGAGGCTCAAAAGTAGCCTGTGGTCATGCCTGACTTCTGCAACGTGTTAGGGCAGCTGCACAGGCACCCATTTTTAGTTTCTAAATGGTTTTAAAATCTTAACCTCATTTAATGTAGCCTATTTAGAGCGTGAATCTACACACACGCTTTCTTGAGATGTAGTATAGGCCATATAGGTTTACTTTTCTGTAATAATGCCATTGCAAGTGTTATAAGCAGCAAGAACAAAACATACACATTTTGTAACTTACAGCCACAGCACTTGTTAACAATAAGTAATTTTTGAAAGATAACAAGCATCAAACGTACCTTGGAATAATTCTTTCTATTTTTTGCTTTCTATTTTTTCCCCTAAATTTTCACGTAGCTAATGGCCCAGAAGCGTTACCGGAGATGTAGGTCCTCCATGTCGTCAGCACTTCAGATAGCCGTACCAGTTCATTTTTCCAGTATTCCTCAGCTTCTCCGGCTGCCAGTTCTTCTTTAACATTACTGCAATAATGAATCGATTCCAAACACATTTTATACGTTTCCAGATTTTTTTTTTTAAAATGGTGACCCGCTGCAGCATGAATAGTTCCTCGACCAGAGCTGGCTATTTCTCACAAGTTTCATCATCATCCCAGCCCCTCCAAATGATGTCACTGAAGAATGTAAAGGGTGTCTTTGTGTTACAGTATGTAAGTGGATACAGCAGCAATAGAGAGCAGGAAAAGGTTGTTTGTTGGTTAGTTGGTTTGTTTGGTTTTTTAAACGGACATGTAAAAGATTGCAAATAATTTTCCTAATATGGAAAGACTACAAAAAATATAATTAGATGAGAGAAAATTCTGGCATAACTATCATGGGGGGGGCGGAGCGGACAGCAGGAAGCATTCTAGGACAATAAAACGTATCTGTTCTTCTGCAGGATGTAATCAGTAGCATATATAATAAGCAAAACTTTCTTAAAGACAAGAATTTGAGATTAGTAACATTACTGGATGTTTCAAGCCATCTCCCAAACGCATCCCTGCAGAGAGAGAAGGCTGAAGGAAATGAGAGCATGTAAACACATTGCAGAACAACGCTGGAAGCAGAAGGAAAGGGCTACTAAACTCCTATTACGAAAACTAATCACAACAATGGAAACAGCTTGGTTCTGTTCTTAGGAGAAGCCAAATTAGATTTTTAGTACATCCCGGACAGCGAAACGACGTTAGACTTTTAGATATTTATAATCGCTTGGAATTCCCCCATGCTTATAAACAAACAAAGCCAAAAAGCCCCGGACCTTGCACAGATTTACAAGGAAAGGCAGAATGTGTATTTTAAGACAGAGGTTTTCAAGCACTGTAGGTCTTGAGACCCATCTCATTTGAACGACCAGTCTCAAATTAGATAGAACAAACTCAAATGAATCAGCGAAGTTCTGCAAACTCTCCAGTTTGTAACCTGAATCTCGAAGAGCCAGGAGAGAGCTCTGAAGCGCTTGCTCACATGCATACCACGCATACATCCAAACTACTTGGATCAGTTGGGACAACAGATGAGCAGTAGCACTGGTGTTTACTGTGTGACCTTTTACAGCTGCCATAAAACGGTTCATCCTCCTCCCTTAGGGCTAATGCAGACATTTGGTTTGGCTAGTGGAGCTGTCAGGCTGCTTGCGGGACTAGCCAGAGACTCAGCAATGCTTCTGGACCGGAGTTTGGCTTCGCTCCTCGTTTGGGTAAGGCAGCAGTCTGCCACAAAAGAAGAAGAAGAGAAGAGGGGTTAAAAAAATACCAAAGCTTTGCCTGTAGAGGCCAGTTCTTTTGGTCCACTCGGGGGGGAGAGATGCACTTTTATTAGCCCAACAGAAGCCGGGCGCCTCTGCTATGCTGGTAAAGAAGATGACGAGCAAGGGCAATGAAGTAACAGATGGGTTAAGCTACTCTGACCAAAAAGAACAGACTGAAAATAGACATCAGTGGGTCATCATCTTCATCTGCACCAATCCCTCCCACAGCGGAGAGAAAAAGTGCCTGCCAAAGAGCTCGCTAAGGAACTTCCAAATTTTTCAGGCCAGGGGAGGCACGGGAGAGGCCACCAGCCTTGGGAGCATCTCTGATGCAGCAGTTATCACAGAAGCTTGTTTCCAAAGAGCTTTTCTTGTTTTTCATAGAAGTGCCTGTGTTCACACGATCAGAGTGGTAATGAATCACAAAGCATCTATAGCAGGACGTGGATATTAGGTAGAAGCTGAAGGTGCAACACACATTGATCTTGGGTTTGTGTAAATTAGGATAAATCATGGAGAAAGATATTCCTCTGCCTACGCTAATGACTGCTTAAAAAAGGATCACTGTCATCATCAGACTGTGCGAGAATCAGAGCTAGACTCTAGCTTTAATACCAGTTTGTTCCCAAAACTCATAGTAAACAGTCCCCAAAACAGCAACAACCGTCTCACTAACATTAAACATATTAACAAAGCTGAAAGAGGCAATCTTACGTTGGATGAAAAGCGAGCAGTTATTGCATTTTGTTTGGAAGCAGATCCTACATGCTCACTCTTGGCAATAATATGATAATCTTTGAACATCCTGAAGACAATTTACCCATAGGATACTTTCAATACTATTAACAAGAAAGACTTCAACAGAGTCGAAACCCACTGTGCAAATGAATGTTGCCATTCTCTGCTGCGAACCACACATTCACGAGGTTCCTCTAACCTCATGCTTGTATGGCCCTCACCTACTCTGCTGTTAGCTGTTAAGGGTCTTTGCAATCTTTGAAGTAGGCTATAATATATAAAGTGAGAAAAACAAAGTCAAACCGTTAGGAGAAAAGTCCGCTTATGAATTACAGACTGCCATTTGATAATCTTTATTCTAAGGGCGAGGCACCAAAAATGAAGCAAAAGAAATCAACAGCTGCATTTGAAAGCATTTGCATGTTTGCAGGCTCCCGACAGCTTCACATTAAGGTTTCTGTTTCTTCACTCACTCAGGACAAAGTCCAAGACTAAATTTTTCAAAACTGAGAACGAGTTTTCTCTTTTAGTGTTCCAAATTCCAAACTCAACAAAGTTTTCAAGCAATTTAGTCTTAAAGTTTTTTCCACAGAAAAATCTCTGGGATTCACACTGATTGCTTTAGAAGCATCACTTTAAATTTAATCACTGGGAACAAAGACAATGTTACAACAACCTTATCTCCCCAAGTGGTTCTCAATAACAAAAGTCACCAGGATCCATACCAATGTTCCCTACTTGACATTTTTGACCAAAAAGATGTTTTAAAATGTCCTGTCAGCTCTTGAGATAAATTGCTAGAGCTCTAAAAATGCCGTGCACTGAGAACAGTACGAGGAACAACGCTTCTGGAAGCAACAAGAATAAGGTGGGAGGAGGAGCAGGAGACCCAGTACCAAAGATTTCTGTAGGGCCAAGGACGGGACAGCTAGGAGCTGATAAACATTTCTACGTGAGGTCAGCTCAGCCAGACAAGCTTCCCAGCAACGTGACATGGCTTTACTCAACATACATTTTCAGTCTTACTGCAGTTTAGATTCAAGTTTTCTATGTGATACCAAATCAAAGTAAGCCTTAAAATATTTCTGTAACGGATACAGCTCCTCAGTCAATGTTGTATCATCTGTGAATGGCAAAATAGTGCAAAAAGATAAATGCCTCACAACTTCCAACACCTGGGCAATTCAAATCTATCACCTTCTGTCCCTCTCCGGGCCAGGCTTCCAGCAATGTTACGCAAAGCTCCAGTTCCTCCACAACATTGTCAACCAGTTCTCTTGGTGTATTTTCAAAATGAGAGTAAAATGGTTCAGCAAAAGATACGGGCACTTTGAGCTGACACGATGAACTCTGAGGTTTGCAAGTAACCTAATTTAGACAAAAGGCTACATACGTCAGTACCGCCTTTACATTAGCGTGGTCATACACACAAAGGACTAGAGAGATAGACGTAGTCGTGTGATCTTGTGATTCAGCTCACAAAGCTTCTTAAATAAATGTTCTATAATATTAAACTAAAAACCAGTATTTGTGAGAACAGCATCTTATCTTCCTGTAATTCTTTCCAGGCAGAATATTTTTGAATCTATGTGCAATATACTTTAAAAACAATGGCCACGTCACGTAGCTATAGTAACCAACATCTACAAGCAAGCAACAAAAGTGTATTTAAGCTGTCCCAAATGCTGGTTTCTGAATTTACATTTTAAAGGATGGTTCCCTTCCTCATTGCCTGTGACTCTCATATTCAAAGTTGTTTAAACAACTATACACTATATAACTTCTTTTGAGTTGCTTCCAGCTTTGATGGAGCCTTTTTTTCCAGACTGAAGCTTTCCAGGTCAAGGCTCTGTAAAGGTGACCTTCAGACTCTGAGTGGAGACTCTCCAAAAGAGACCAGCGGAGGAGGAGTTACTGTAAACTTAAATATGGACTCAGGTTTGTTTTGTTTTGTTCTGTTCCAAATAAATGATCTTTGTCAGGAAAGCAAGTCTAGTAAAACCAGATCTGCACAGCTGACTGTGTAGAAAGGTACCTCTGAGGAGGACTCAGAAATCACTTAGAAAAGTAAATAAATAAGCTAACAAAAAGATGTGAACATATGGTGGCTGCAGAGACATGTGTGTATAAAAACGTTTATATTATTTCTGCGTATGCTAATGGAAAGATTACCTCTAAAATGTACCCAATTCTCACATCCAGCATTTTTACAGTGTTAAAAATTTGGAGAGAGTTCAAAGTGATCAGAAAGTATCCAAGGCCAAAAATAGGTCTAACAAAAAGACTTCAGCCTAGATAGCTTATCCAAGGGAAGGCTGGGAACTTAATCTTGAGCGAAAGTGTTTACATAACAGAAGTCTTAGAAGAGAACATTAGTTGTCTTTCTAAGAAAAAAAAAATCTCTATAATCACAACACACTGTACTTAGTAATGCTCATTTTACCCCACGGAAAGATAACTTCCTTCACTGAGAGAGACCCTTGGTGAAATTCTGTTATATTAAATACACTGTATAGGTAATTTTAACATGAGTTTTCATGGATCGTCTGGGTACCTATCATCATGAATAGCATCAAGGATACATGAGATAGAGAGCCAGAGAAGTTATCTCAACAAGTATTCCAATAGAAAGTGTAATTAAATCTTCCAGATTGACGATGAAAGGCTCTGGCTTAGTCTTGCAGATCCCAAGATCCCATGCCAGTGTTTTCTTTCATCTTCAGTTTTTCCAAAAGGTAATTGTCCGTTGCATCGCTGGCACCCTCTGCCTATAGACTATCTTCTGCTTATTAACCAGATGGTATCTCACTATTTTAAGACTGGTACAAAGATGAGTTCTGCCTGTTGACGGCTCCGGGACTGCACATACCTAACAAAGGTGCTTGTTCCATGCCATCCCTGGTAATCTTTCTTCAAACTAGCCATTTACTGGAGAATTCCAACTCCACAAGCTCCAGGAGATGTGAAAAATGCAGGAAGTTATGGTGTACAGCTACAGAAACCACAACATGCTTGGAAGAGTCTTAATGGCACCACGGAGCACCATGGTTTGAAAGGGCATTGCAGTTCAGGCTGGGACAACAACAGAATAGGCAACTGGCTATCTGTCCATGTTGTGAAGACTGGAAATCTTTCTGTCCAGTTCCAGGCAGCACAAGGGTAGTAAGCACAGCACTGTGTTTGACACAAGCCCTCCTGTCAGTTCATCTCTTTTCTCCCTTTTTCCTTCTTTTTTCCTTCCAAGTTGTATATTCTACAACACACACCGAATTTTCATTACTCAGGATATCCAGCTGAATAATATCAGCTGTTATCAGTACATTTCATCAAGTTTTTTCTTTCTATTACAACCCTATTAAAATTGTTTTGTAACGTGTCAGGATAAACCTGTACATGTCTTATCTACCAAAGAGCACTGAATTCATCTGTTGTTGATCACACAAATCAGTTTATAGAGAATTAGCATTGAAGAGTCCCTAAATGCTCCAAATATATATATAAAAAAAATTAATGGCATGTTAATGACCTAACAGTGAGTATGAAATGTTTTTTCCAGTGCCCTTCCAGCCATGCAGGACAGCAGGAGACATCCTTACTGACAGCAACTGCAAGCAGCTCTTGCTTTGTTCCACCAGGTCTGCTCCTCAGCCCTTCACGTTTTAGGTCCCCTGAATCAGGAATCCAAGAAAAGCCTGCAAAATTACCTCACGTAGCAGGATGAACAATTGCTTTGTTGAGCTAACTCCTGTTTACACTCTGGAACCCAAATAAATTGGCAATCCCGACTGCAGGATGCGAGGAGAATAACACACTGGGAGAACATCTGCCGTCCCAACTGCGACCTGGAAGGAAACTTGACCGTGAGTACTTGGGTTCAGTATGAGAAAAATGCTAACTGCCCGTTGTACACTTCAGGGGACTAATGAAGTTGTGTCATCTGTTTGTGCAGTGTTGTTTGTTCATTTTTCTCTCTTTGGAAAGCCAGATGTTGCTTAACTGAGACCTGGCCATGTGGCTTCCAGTGACTGAACAGTTGTTATTGCCTCTTCTCTCAAGAGACGGAATTTGTTAAAACTGCGGGCACCTGTACTTGTCCACAGTTGAGCTGGAGATGAGGTGAACAGACGAAAAAGCTTTCAAGCCTGACTTGTTCTACAGGTTAACAGAGCAGGAAAGTCTCCTGCAGCCTGGCTGCTTTGGGACTTACAGCCTCAGATCCAGGCAGGGCAAGGAATGGCTGGAAGACATAAACACAAGGTGGGGGAAAAAAAAAATAAGAAAATAACTTTAAATATTTTCCCAAATTAGAGCAAGCTGAAAAGAACTCCTAGTGATTATTTGGAAGCCTACCACGCTTTCATGTACTGTGTGGGGAATTACATTTATATTTGCATATGTGAATTGGAAGGGAGTACCCCAGAGGGATACCCGACTGGCAAAACTCATTAAATCCAATTCATCCATTATGCAAACAACTTCATTGTAAGAAGAAACACAGATGGTTCGGCAAAATGAAAGAGAAGCTGAATATCTCTGTGGGTTTGTAGAGCCCTCAAACAAGGGTATAAAATTCATTAAAATGGTATCCGGTGATGTCCAATAAAACAGTAACATTCCATAAGGCAGCCTTCCCTACTAACGTATGTATCCAGGGACATTTCTTAGTTTAAATATAGGAAAATGCAGGAGTGAACAAACCTGTATAAAATTTCAGACACTATTTTAGAGCTTTGGGAGCTGCACTGAAGCGTTGATGAAAATGGTATGCTAGGTATGTATTACTATATAAAGATGTTTATGTTCTGGAGCCTCTTTGTTTTCTTAACCTTTGAAGTTAAACAGTTCGGGTGGCAAAAACTCGGTTGCCAGAAGCCAGTGGCTGATGGGGAGGTGTGAAATGTGTTTTGAGAATGACTCAAGCCAAAAAGTGGATCAAGAAAAACTACAGTCTAGGTTAAAAAAACACTGGGCAATCACAATGAGGTGCTATTTTAAGAAGCATTCTGTGATTTAAAATCTTATAAGAAATAACTGTTGAGAAGCATGTTCTGGTATCTAAATCTCTAAAGTCAATTCAATGCTAATTAAAATACAACAGCCTTTCACTGACAGGCATCTGAACCTTTGTGAGAAAAGAGGAGCAGGAGGGATCGACGTTACCATCCTATAAAGATGTAGCCTGTCCTCTGTACCCTTTCCTGGTGCTTATCCTAAGTTAAGCCCATCGCAAACAATTACAATTCCTTGTTTAATAAATCAACATGGTAAATCTTGATTTTAACCTCTTCATATGATTTTCAACTAACATGCTTATAGCTGGAGGTAAATTAACATATCAAAAATGAATTCTGAGATAAACGTTGCAGTTGATCTGTTTGGATAAACACTGTTTGTGTAATTAATTTCTCTGATGTAGTAATTTGCCTGAGCTCCAAAATGAAAGAAATTAATAACAGTTGAAGAAACTACAGATTTCCTATTCATTAAAGATCTGACGAGTAAAAGAATAGGATAGAGGTCTTAGAATCTCCCATTCCTTCGCAATCACTGCATTTTTCTGAACACTTGACTTTGTCTTCCTGATATTTCCATGAACTGAGTGTCAGGGGTGAACGTGTGGGTAGTATATTGAGGTTCCCAGCAAGCAAAATGCAGCTTACAGCTATGAAAGCTATGTTTTTTCTTGCCTACTGAGTTCTTATTTTAATACATGTTCAAATCGCTTCCTTAGGTAGCTTGCTACTGGTACTTCAAAAGGCAAAAAAAAAAAAAGAGATATTTAGCAGGAAACAGTCTATCTATAAGGCATTTTAGACATTTTTCCATTGTTTATGGTATCCACTGATGAGTTTAAAAATGTAATTTCCTTCCCTAACAGTCTCAATTTTTCTCTTTGCTTTGATAATCCATAAGTATCAGTGTGAGTGTTTACACAGCATTTTGCATGCTTCAGACTAAGAGGATAAATTCTCTTACTCAAAAAATTATGGACACTGAAGTAAACAGGAATTCAGTTGCTCTCGATGAATGAGGTTCCAACGCTCTGCCTTATGGATCAGGATTAATTCCTTGTCCCTGCAAAATTAGGGTATCTTCCAGTCCTGTGATACCTGTAGATGACAGAACAACCAGAGAACAGTCCTGCACATTTATATTCTTCCCAGTTCCTCTTACGATTGCAAGATCATAAGACTTAACACTTCCACGAAACTGTGACTTGCCCTCTGCTCTAGCTGAGGACTTGGTGGGGTAGACACCACCCTGGACACAACCTCTAGCCTCCGCAGACTGTATCCTCTTTCCCACAAGACCCAGCCTTCTGGGTCTTTGGAGAATCTTTTGTTGACTCGAAGACAAGGGAAGAAAGG